GGAACTTCATCTAGGTCTCCCACATGGATGCAGAGGCCCAAGGACTTGTGCCATCGTTCACTGCTTTCCCAGGCTGTAGAAGAGAGCTGGATCAGAAATGGAGCAGCTGGGACTCGAACCAGCTGCCATATCAGATGCTTGCATCACAGATAGTGGCTTAACTCACTGTGCCACAATGCTGGCCTCACAATTTTGCCTTTAAATTGTGAGATCTTTGAGTAGTAATTTCAACCATAATTTTTCAGACTTAACACAGAGCTTAGAATAGAGAAGTAAGTGATAAATATTTAAAAAATAAACCAATGAATAAGTGAATGAGGTCCTCATGCAAATATCCAATTCTAATGTCACCACTTGCTGAAACATTTTCTAGTGATCCAAAATAAAGCAATGTGGTCCTATTCTGAGTAACAAAATAATGCATTGTTTATAGCACTCATATTGACCTTAATATTTACTAACTGCAAGGCTTGGTCATCTTTTCATAGACTTATATATAATTTCCCTAAAATAATCTCAAGGGCCTTTGGGGATGGTACAATACCTTTTTCTCCTTTTCTTTCTTTTTTTTTTTTTTTAAGATTTTTATTTATTTGAAATTCAGAGTTACACAGAGAGGAGAGGGAGAGAGAGAGAGACAGAGAGAGAGAGACAGAGAGAGACAGAGAGAGACAGAGAGAAAGGTCTTCCTTCCGTTAGTTCACCCCCCAAATGGCCACTACAGCCGGCGCGCAGCACTGATCTGAAGCTAGGAGCCAGGTGCTTCCTCCTGGTCTCCCATGTGGGTACAGGGCCCAAGCACTTGGGCCATCCTCCACCGCCTTCCCGGGCCACAGCAGAGAGCTGGACTGGAAGAGGAGCAACTGGGACAGAACTGGCGCCCCAACCGGGACTAGAACCCGGGGTGCCGTCACCGCAGGCAGAGGATTAGCCTACGGAGTTTCTACTATTTCTCCTCCTCTTTTTCCTCTTCTCTCCTTTATTCTCCTTTTTTTTCTTCTCTTTCTCCCCCTTTTCATTCTTTATTTCTCTTTAGGACCTATAATATACAGTGTGTATTCAAAATGTATTTGTTTATCATTATAAGCCAAGAACAAAACAACAATTTCTAAAACAAACACATCACACAAAATCCATTTCAGTCTTAAGCTACATTACATCTGTAATGTGATCAGATCCAGAGAGATCCCTTTGAACTTGGCCCTATTCAGATCACATTGTGAGTATCTGTGCACTAAGCCAGGAGGATGATATATAAAGCAACTTCAAAAAGCTCATGGGAAATGGAATTACAAGGTCACTATTTTGATGTGACAAAAATTTGGAATCTGTGTTGTTATTTCTGAATGCATATCTTCCATGAACTTTTTGAAGACCTCCCCTGTATTTTATAAGGAAGATAATATTGTAGAGTAATAGAAATTTGGAGAAGGTGCCTCCAGGACCTCCTCGGTGTTGGACAGAAGGTCTGGTCAGGGAAGGGGGGGGACCAGATTTCCACCGAAACTCTTCAAGACTAGTTCTACCAGATCAAAGACTACCATGTATGATTTCATTTGGATAAAGATCTGTGGCTAAAAGAAACATGGCCAAGGGAGTGAGGAATTCAGAAATCCTAAAGTTTAGAGGCATTACAGTGTCCAGGGATATCTGAGTAGACATGATACTCATCTTCAGGTAACTGAAGCCAGGTACATATGCCAAGTTCATGATGAACCCATGCTGAATCACACCCAGTGATTAACTAAGTGAGTGATGAGCAGATTTGCCTTATTCACATTGATAGAAGGAGTGCTATCAGTGGGCTGGGGTCCCCTAGTAAGCAGGATAATTTCTGTCTCTGAAATGTTTCAAACACAAGTGTGTAGTGTTCAGTTACAAATACAATTTAATGGTGAGTGGTTGAATTTAGTGAGTTTGTTCCCAATTTTAATTTCTGAGCTATTTGGGTCTAAATTTTGTTGTTTGTTTCAGGGAGTATGAGAGCATGATAGGTATTTCAAACAAAATGAATTACATGTGGGAAAGTGGTTATAAATTTGTAGGGAGGGCTGGAAGAGCAAAAAGGAAATAGAGGGGACCTAAGGAGGTAAAAAAGAGAAGAGTTGGTACTCACATGTAAGAAACTGCCAATGCCCTGGAGCCAAGCCCCCAAAGTTGCATCTTCCACTATTTCCTTTGCAGTTCCATCTGGATAGAGTGAGGCGGTGCTGTGTTAATCAGGCCTGCAGCTGCCTACACTGCTATAGTTCAGAGACATTCCATCCCCTCCCCCACAACAGCAACCATCTGCTATGGAGGGCAGTTGACACATTGGCAAAACTATTTTCTCTGTCATTTCCTTTATTTTCTCAGATAATTTCTCTACCTCTTACTGTTTGGCCTCCTGCTAGTGCCTGCCATTTGCAAAGCCTACCAGGAATAAGAACCTAACAAGGGGACTTGGAAAATGTAGTTTATAGACTCCCTGGTAGAATAAAGCAGAGTAGATAAAAGTTGACATGGAACTGAGAGACTGGGTCCACAGTGTCATGCTAGTACAAACATCTCCTTTTTAGATGAACTTCAGTGGCTCCAACCAGTGTCCTTAAATCCCTTTGGCCTTCCTTCCATCTGCTATGTATGCTACAGCTGGAAGGGTCCTTTTTTTTTTTTTTTATTGATTTGACAGAGTTATAGACAGTGAGAGAGAGACAAAGGTCTTCCTTAATTGCCACTATGGCCGGAACTGCGCCAGTCCGGAGCCAGGAGCCAGGTGCTTCCTCCTGGTCTCCCATGCGGGTGCAGGGGCCCAAGCATTTGGGCCATCCTCCACCGCTCTCCCGGACCACAGCAGAGAGCTGGACTGAAAGAGGAGCAGCCAGGACTAGAACCCGGCACCCATAATGGATGCCGGCGCCACAGGCGGAGGATTAACCAAGTGAGCCACGGCGCCAGCCCCTGGAAGGGTCCTTTTAAAACAACAATTTAATTGTGACATTCCTTTCTTAAAACTTCCGAATAGCAGATGGGCATGTGACGCAGGGGTTAAGGAGGCTGCATCCCGAATCAGAGTGCTTGAATTTGAGTCCTGGCTCTTCTCTGATTCCAGCTTCGTGCTGACACAGACACTGGGAGGCAGCAAGTAATCAATCTGGTGGTTGGGTTCCTGCTTCCCATGTGGGAAACCTGGATTGCGTTCCTGCCTCCTGGCTTCAGCCTGGCCCAGCTGTAGCCACTGTAGACATTTGAGGAGTCAGCAGATTGGAGCCCTCTCAGTCTCTGCCTCTCAATGAACAAGCAAGAAAAAATCAAACAAAAAAAACCCACATGCCTGTAGCTTCCCATTACCATTGGAGTAAGGCCACTCCTGCACACATGCTCTGGAAAACTCTGTGTGGTCTGTTCCTGACAACTGTCCTCTATGCTAGGCTTCTCCTTTGTCTTTACAATGCAGATGTAGTGGTTTCCTTTCAGTTTCATGAGTATGGCGTTCTCTTTTTAGTTCTTACCTCAGATTACCTACACCTATCTTCTTCAAATTCATTTCATTCATCCTTCCTTCACAGAAGCTTTCCTTGGCCTCCTTGACTGGGTCAGTTCACCATTTTAGTATAAGTATATCTACCTACGAGTGCTTTCATTTGCATGTTCAGTGTCCCCCAAAGTCTCATATGTTAAAGGCTTGGCTTCCAGGGTGTTACACTTGGGATATGGTAGAACCTTAGGCTGTGGGCCTAAGGGGAGGTCTTTAAGTCACTGGAGGCATACTCTTAGAATACAGTTCTCCTGAGAGGGTAATTACAAAAAACAGAGGTTGAGCCCACCTACTCTGTCTGCTTTCTTGTGATCCTTTATCTGCATGTCCTCTGCCATCCTCCTTAGGGTCTTTGGCAAAGTGTGCATCATGCCATTTGGACTTTCAGCCTCCAAAACTTTGATTTAAATTATTCTTCCCTTCATAATAGCCTGTGTCAGGTATTTTGTTGTAGTGATGAAAAGATGATTAAACAATTATTTATTTGTTTAAAAATTGATTTATTTATATGAAAGGCAGTTACAGAGAGGGAGGCGGGGGAGACACAGGCAAAGAGATCTTCCAGATGGCTGCAATGGCCAGGGCTGGGCCAGGCCAAAGCCAGGAACTTCATCTGGGTCTCCCATGTGGGTGCCAGGGACCCAAGTACTTGGGCCATCTTCTGTTGCTTTTCTTAGGCTGTTAGCAGGGAGCTAGATTGAAAGTGAAACACCTGAGACATGGACCAGCACCCATATGGGATGCCAGCACTGAAGGTCGTGGTCCTACCCTGTATGCCACAGTGCCAGCCACCAATTATTTCTCTCTCTCTCTTCATGAACATGGAAGTCGGTGTGTGCACACACACATGTACACATACATTTTATTTCTAACTTTCCCTCTAGATTTATAAGCTTCATGAGTTTAGAAATCATTTTTTATCTTTTCCTCAACAAGGCTCACTCAACACCTAGCACAATGCCTTGTGTGTAAAAGATGCTCACTCAGTGAATAAATGTATAGATCTATGGATGTACCTTTGGTTAATTCATTCTTACTGAGTGGAAGTTAAAATTATCTTGGGAACAACTGTCAGTTTTCTGATTTTTATGGTGCTTATGAAATACTAAATCCACTACTGGGTTTATTATAGACATAATTTTAATATTAGAAAAATGACAATCACTTTTCTCTGACTGCTCTCTTTAGAGTTAAATGTACCTTTGTCTAAATTGTAAGAAGTCCTTCCTTGCACCCCCGAGAGTACCAGCTCCCCCCAGTGGCTCCAGTCTCCATCAGGAGCTCTCCCATGGGAGAAACCCTCTAAGAATGCTGCCTTTGTTTGCTGGGGGACTTTGAACCTTAGTTTGTTCTGGGAATAGAAACCCAAACTGAAATGGTTTCACTTTGCCATTGGGAATTTAAACCACTTGACTCTAAGACTATGGTGACAAGAACACAGGGAAAAATAAATGAGGATCTGAATTGTAACGATTCCCCAGGACTCACTGGAACACTACCCCAGGAAGGAGAAAAAAAAAAAAAGCTCAACAAACAATTCTCCACAAAAAGCCTTACTGGGGCCAGTGCCCTGTTCACTTGTTTAGTTCCTTAGCTATAATTTCCCCAGCTTTAATAGCGCTCTCTCAACCAGGCAGAGAGTTGTGCTGCTATTGGTCCTCAAGTCAGTTTCAGGGGAGGTCATGTTTGATAGTGCAGATGCCATCTGGATTTTATCTTTGCCAAAAGAACACCCTGTCTTAGGCTGGAGTTTTTGGAAGATGGTAAGATAGAAAATAAAAGAGAAATTTGACATTGATCGTGGATAGTTGTAGCTGTTAACTTTTTTTCTGTCCCTTAAATCGTAGGTGCAGTGTCCTAGACAAGGACATTAACTGACTAGGGATTCCTCATCTCTGCCAGATGGAGGAAATAAGAAGCTGAAGGGATATATTTTTGCAGTGTTTACAGTGCATGGAAGTTTCCTTAAATACATAATCAGAGGTAATTAGACTATGTGGTGTAAGAAGGGGCGTAAACACTATTGACATGCTACTCTCGGAATAGGCACCATCTGAGTTGATTTGGCTTTGACAGTTCCTGATTTTTGATATTTTTGATATTTTGGGAAGCAGATGTGATGAGAGTGAAGAAATTTAAGTCTGCAAATAACATGTCTTGGTTCAAAAATAATATTGCTTGTTTGTATCCTCTTCTTAACCTAAAGAAATGATGCTGGCACATGGAGGGATATTGTCAATCTAGGACTTTAGTACATTGGATGATTCAAGATCCAGGATTTTACTTGCCACTACACCAAAAAAAAACCTGAGTACAAGGCTCTGAGATTACTTGCCACAAGGGTTCACATATTCTTACTATGGGTTGAATTTCTTATATTCTCCCCTTTCAATCTCGAGATAGACCTGATATCAGAGTATTTCCTCGTGCCAATCAGAAGTCTATTAAATTGTCCTTTTAGTATTCTTTGAAAGCGTAATAGTTGATAACAATGTAAGAACAGTGTGATTAGTAACTCCAAATAGGAATGGATGGCCTCAGAATGGGCATGTCTGAGCAGATTGGCCTTTGACAATTCCTGATTTTCTCTACTTCAGAGACATTTGATAACTCCAAATATGTTTCCCCTGCTTTCATATCATAGATGTGTCCCCGTGCCATACTAGCCTGGAGATAGAACCTAGGTACCAGATACTCCCGTACAATATATCCCAAAGCTCAGTGCTTTCCTATAGGGCCCATATAAATGCTTTCAGACCTTACTGCTTATGTCGCTGCCTAACAAATGGCCCAACTAAACACTTAGTTGCTAAAAATAATAAGCATTTATCATCTTAGAAAATGCAGTTTCTGTGAGTTAACAATTTGAGAGTTGTCTAGCTTGTGGATAGTGGGTATCCAGGAGACTGTGCAGATGTAAGCTGGGGTACAGTCACCTGAGAGCTTGATTGGTGTTAAAAGGATCAGATTCTACTGGCATGGCCGTTAGCAGGAGGCCTCAGTTTCTTGTCACATGGCTGCTTTGTGTTCCTCTGACTTGGTCTAGATTCCCTCACAGTGTCTGATCCAAGAGAGAGCAGGGAGGAAGCCTTTGCACCCTCATCCAGAGGACCGTGCTGCTTCACTTCTACAACATTCTGTTCCTTGGGTCCCCGAGAATGCAGCTTAAACTCAAGGGGGCAGGGATTAGGCTCTACTACCCTGAAGCTACATGTGCCAAAGAAATTTGTGGACATACTTTAAAATCACTTCAATGCTGTCTGTTACCACTCTGCTTTGAAATGCCGATTCCTTGTTTGTCGCTCCCCCTCTTCATGGAGGAACGACACTAAACCCTGCTTAGGCTTCATATCCGAGTCACGGCACCATTATGTCGCTCCCCCTCTTCACGGAGGAACGACACAGGACCCTGCGTTGTTCTTTCGTCTGCTCGGCCCTCCCCGGGTTTGCTGCTGGTTCTTCCCGGGTTGGCTACCGTCCCTTCCACCTCCGTGGAAGGGCGGTTCCCCCTAGCCACTTTCCCCACTTCTGCGGGGGAGCGGCACACCACCGGCCGGCTCTCTCGGGGGCTGCACAGGTGTTCCTTCGATGTTCCCTTTAGATGTTCCTGGTGCATGTTGTCTCTCTCCTCCTTTATAGTCCTCTTCCACCAACTCTGCTACCCACACACTGAGTACGCTGCTCTCTTCCAATCAGGAGCAGGTCCTGCTGCTTATTGGTTGAACTGGAGGCAGCTGTGTAGAAGCTGTTACTCCCTTCTCAGTGCCATATTGTGGGAGAGCAGATGCATAGAATAAGTCTTAATTCCAGTAACTTAGTCTAGTCCGAGTTGCTCCCAGTTGCTCCCCACACTTGTTTGCACTGCATGATAGATCGTGTCACTTTGGCATGGTCTGATCCCCATGTCCAGGAGCTGCAGCCTAGTGTACATACTTCTCTCCTGCCTGCCTGAGCCAAATGACACCAGGCACATCTTGCAGAGAATCCTCTTCAGCTAAACCCACACCAAGTTCTTTATTTTAGGCAAGATAGCTATGTGAGGATTCCTGACCAATCTAGTTACCAGTGGTGGAGAGTGTCAACTAACTTTGAGATCAGCTTCCTTTCTTTGGTATTAAAAAAAAATCAAAATAAGAGTTGTTGCCCTGAAGTGCAGCTTTCCGCCCTGCTGCTGTGCTGGGAGAATGCGTAATATTTTCTTCTCAAGGATTCTGTGATTGTCCTCCCAAATGGCCTTTGTTCGGGGTACATGAGTCAACTGAAATTCACATCTCAATGGGAATAGATCATAGATCCTTCTAGGGGTTGGGTTGAATCTGCAAGTATTTGGGCTTCTGATGCAGACTTACCCAGGTGGTGCTTAGGAAGCACTGGCTCTGGACACAGCTGTGGCCAAGGTTTGAACTCTTCTGACCTGACATTCATGTCAGATCAGTCAGTCTTCATTCTCAGGGCCTTTGCACTTGCCTTTCCAGGCGTGAGCCTCAAGTGTTCACATTCACATTGTTGCTAGGCTGATTCCTTTCTGTCATTTAGTAGATCGGTCCAAATACTATGCTCAGAGAGGCTTTCTCAGCCAGCTACATTTGATCTTCTTCCCACTAATGGACCTTATTTAAGAGTGCAACCTACTGTTTTCCCTTTAAGGGCGCATTGCTCAGGGAATTTATCTTGTTTTATCTGCCTACCTTATACCACTAGAACATAGGATCTGTGTCAGTAAGAGACCTTGTTTTCCATTTCTCTTGTGCATCTTCAGTATTTACCTGATGCCGCAGGTGCTCAATAAATATTCATTGGCTGAATGAGTGACTGATAAATACAGAATCTTTGAAACAAGAAAACCAAGACCAACATTATGCACTAAGCAGCCTATGTGTTCTTGAGAATGTCTTGGAAGAAAAATCACAGTTCATCTGGGCGGGTAGACCTCAGAGTCTTTGCAGCCTGTTTATCAGAGAAATGTGACTTTTTGGGTATCTAAGTTTTTAAAAAAAATTTTATTTATTTATTTATTTATTTAATTTTTAACTTATTTAATGAATATAAATTTCCAAAGTACAGCTTATGGATTACAATGGCTTCCCCCCCCATAACTTCCCTCCCACCTGCAACCCTCCCCTTTCCCGCTCCCTCTCCCCTTCCATTCACATCAAGAATCATTTTCAATTCTCTTTATATACAGAAGATCAGTTTAGCAGATATTAAGTAAAGATTTCAACAGTTTGCACCCACATAGAAACACAAAGTGAACAATACTGTTTGAGTACTAGTTATAGCATTAAATCACAATGTACAGCTGGCGCCGTGGCTCACTAGGCTAATCCTCCACCTTGCGGCGCAGGGACACTGGGTTCTAGTCCCAGTCGGGGCGCCGGATTCTGTCCCGGTTGCCCCTCTTCCAGGCCAGCTCTCTGCTGTGGCCAGGGAGTGCAGTGGAGGATGGCCCAAGTGCTTGGGCCCTGCACCCCACGGGAGACCAGGAGAAGTACATGGCTCCTGCCATTGGATCAGCGTGGTTCGCCGGCCGCAGCGCACCGGCCACGGCGGCCATTGGAGGGTGAACCAACGGCAAAAAGGAAGACCTTTCTCTCTGTCTCTCTCACTGTCTACTCTGCCTGTCAAAAAAAAAAAAAAAAAACACAATGTACAGCACATTAAGGGTGACAGAAATCTTCTATCTGCTGGTTCACTCCCCAAATGGCTGCAAGAGCCATGGCTAGTACAGGCTGAAGCCATGATCCTGAAACTCCATCCCGGTCACCAATATGGGATCCAGTGTCACACACCCATTGTGCCACAAAGCTGGCCCCAGTATCTCAGCTGCTGAAGCAGAACATACCTGTACGTGAGTGTTTTGTATATATGAGAGCATTTCAAAAACTTAGCGGAAAATAGCATTAAACAATAAGCTTATTTTGGTACAAAAAATTTAAAAACCTGTGCATAGTTATTTCTTAATATGATTTTTGAGAACTTTCTAAAGATCTCTAATATGTGTGAATTTAAAATATTTTTGGGTATCAAAATAAGCTTATCTTTTAATTATACTTTCTACAATGTTTTTAGTAAAATATTTATCTGAAAGGTAGAGTGATAAAGGGAGAGAGAGAAAGAGGGATGGAGGGAGGGAAGGAAGGAGGAAAGGAAGGAGAGAGGGAGAGGGAGGGGGAGGGAGGGAGGAAGAATGAATCATCCATTTGCTGGTTTACTCCCCACATGACAGCAACAGTCAAGGCTGGGTCAGACAGAAGCCAGCAGCCTAAAACTCCATCTAGGTTTCCCACATGGGTACAGGGCCTGAGGACTTTGGCCATCTTCTGTTGCTTTTCCAGGGAACTGAATTGGAAGGGGAGCAGCTAGGACTTGAAACAGAGTTCAGATAGGGGATGCTTGAGCATTGGCCCCTCCATGAAGTTTTTGAAGTGTTCTTGCCTCGTGTATATTGGGGACCACAGGCTGATGTCTTGGTGAGCTCACTGGGTACACCTCTTTCCCATGCCTCACTGCCACCATAATGCTTCCATTACCCTGGTCCACTTCCCTTCTGTCTTCTTTTCCTTGACCCATCTCCTTTTTCTCTCAATGTCTTTCTCTTTACTCCATTGCTAAATTCAACTTTTTTTTTTTTTTTTTTTTTTTTGGACAAGCAGAGTTAGACAGTGAGAGAGAGAGACAGAGAGAAAGGTCTTCCTTCCGTTGGTTCACTTCCCTTAATGGCTGCTATAGCTGGAGCGATGTGCCGATCCAAGGCTAGGAGCCAGGTACTTCGTCCTGGTCTTCCATGCGGGTGCAGAGGCCCAAGTACTTGGGCCATCCTCCACTGCCTTCCCAGGCCACAGCAGAGAGCTGGACTGGAAGAGGAACAACTGGGACAGAATCCGGCACCCCGACCGGGACTAGAACCTGGGGTACCGGCGCCACAGGCAGAGGGTTAGCCTAGTGAGCCGCGGTACCAGCCTGCCAAATTCAACTGTGAGTCCCACTCTGCTCTTTGTAATGCTATATATACTTTAACAATTTTGGAATTTTTGTTACACATAATTAAAAATCCAAAGGTGATGAACATAAGGCAAATAATTCAAATCTGGTGAATCTCTAAGCTTCAAAAGTCTGCAGAAATCGGCACTTCTTCCTTTTGTGCTCCAATGGTATTTCATCATTCCTCTGTCCTGTCTCTCCTCTCTGTCTCTGGAGAGAAGTATTTGCTTCTTTAAAGGATTTCACAGATGAAGGGAATATGAAACATGACTTAAAAGATGGAAGAAGGCTATTATTTGAAGCCAGGTGAGGCCACTTAGGAAATCTGGGTACAGCCTTTCCAAGCCTACCTTATAGCTGAAAGCACACGGAAGCTTCTGCATGTTGCTAGCCTGAGCTGTTTGACAAATTGTGCTTTTCTTTTTCTAGAAGTGATGGCATCTTGTCAAGAGTGTGGTTTGATCTCTATCAAAGGGTTTACAATATGCAAAATGATTTGGCTGTACTAGATTCAGAGAAATTCTACAAGTGAGCCATGAAGAGATTCGCATTATTATTAAACAAGTGTAATAGTAATGAAAAGTGAGGACGAGGAAGGCAACAGAACGAGGAGGCTGGGGACTGTATACCTCCAGATCGTTCTCCACTCCTGTCTGCCCTCCCTGGAGTTCTCAAGAGGCTGCCCTGTGGTGTGTGTGGCAGTGGGCTCCTGTGTGTTGTTGCCAGCTGGGCCTGGGCAATGGGCGATGCTGACATTGAAGCAGGGGCAGGGGAAGAGGGAGGGCAGGGGATCGTTTTTGCCATTGCCCAAGCGATAAAACTACCAGAAGAGCCAAGAGACTCTGCATCTAACCTTTCTTAAAAGTAAACTTGATTTTGAAATAGTTTTAGATTTAGAAAAGTTATCGGGATTATGGAGAGTTTTTTTTTTTTTTTTTTTTTTTTTTTTTTTGGACAGGCAGAGTGGACAGTGAGAGAGAGAGACAGAGAGAAAGGTCTTCTTTTGCCGTTGGTTCACCCTTCAATGGCCGCCGCAGCCGCCGTGCTGTGGCCAGCGCACCGCGCTGATCCGATGGCAGGAGCCAGGTACTTATCCTGGTCTCCCATGGGGTGCAGGGCCCAAGCACTTGGGCCATCCTCCACTGCACTCCCAGGCCACAGCAGAGAGCTGGCCTGGAAGAGGGGCAACTGGGACAGAATCCGGCGCCCTGACTGGGACTTGAACCCGGTGTGCTGGTGCCGCAAGGCGGAGGATTAGCCCAGTGAGCTGCGGCGCCAGGCAGAGAGTTCTTATATAACTTTTACTCAGCTTCCTTTGATGTGAACATCTTATATGAGCACGGCCATTTGTCAAAACAAAAACATACATGTTAACTAAACTCTCGATTTCATCAGTGTCTCCAGTGACATCCTTTCTGTGGTGCAGAATCCAGTGCAGAAGACCAGGCTACACTTAGTCATTGTCTTAGTCCATTCAGGCTGCTGATAGAAATGAATTCCTCACAGTTCTGGAGACTGAGAAGTCTAAGACCAAGGTGGCAGAAGTTTTGGGGTGTGGTGAGGACTTGCTCTTTCCTTCAAAGGTGGGGACATAGTTTTGCATCTTCAGATCTGGAAGGGGTAAAGGAGCTCCCTAGAGCATGAATGGGTGCTCAGCCTCCTCTATGCTTCATTTGCTCAGCTTTTCCTTACTGTTCACAACTTTGACATTTGTTGATCACTTTTTAAGCTGGTCAAAAGTTTACAAACATAGCACATGAAGTTTAATCTTACATCCACATCCAGGTTGGATAACAGTGATTTTCAAGTAGCTGTTGTCATCTCAAGGGTCCCATCCTTAGAAGACATGACAGACCCTTCGCCTTCTCTTGCCCTCTATCCTGCACATCTCTATCAATGACAATGCTTGGTGCATTGTGATTTATGGTAAAAATGTAGTGATATTGAGGAATTTGTGATCAGTGCCTGCCTATTTTGCTAGCAACAGTCTTTGGAAGCTCGCTGTATGGTGAAAACGGAAAGATCTCTTAGGAAATGGCGCTCATTTGGTTTTTCAGTGGCATTCCCTGTGTACTCACTTAGATAGCAGTCACCTGCTATAATTCTGCATGATACTCCTGAATGTAAGCTCTTATAAAAGCTGGTCTTGGCCAGCACCACGGCTCACTAGGCTAATCCACTGCCTGTGGCGCCGGCACCCCAGGTTCTAGTCTGGGTCGGGGCGCCGGATTCTGTCCCGGTTGCTCCTCTTCCAGTCCATCTCTCTGCTGTGGCCCTGGAAGGCAGTGGAGGATGGCTCAGGTCCTTGGGCCCTGCACCTGCATGGGAGACCAGGAGGAAGCACCTGGCTCTTGGCTTCAGATCGGCGCAGTGCGCCAGCCGTAGCAGCCATTAGGGAAGTGAACCAATGGAAGGAAGACCTTTCTCTCTCTCTCTCTCTCTCTCTCTCTCACTGTCTAACTCTGCCTGTCAAAAAAAAAAACAAAAACAAAAACAAAAACAAAAAAAAGCTGGTCTTGTGCTTTCATTGTTGTGTGTTATCACTTTAAGGGTAATATTCTTTCTTGCAAAGCTTTGAAGCATTACTTTATGAAAGGTGTTTGGAAAGGTGAAAATGATAATTAAATCTTATCTCCAGTGTAATTTTATGATTACATAGACTATTCCCCAGTACTACACTTTTGAAATTGTTGTGGGCCCAAAAATGCCACTTGTATATCCCTGTAGAGAAAGTGTTAAAATGGGGCTTTGTTGTCCAATTATGTTTCTAACAGCATCTGCATGGATTCTCCATCTAAGCAGCTGTTCATATGTGCTCAACCTTCTCACCCATGTTAGGAAATGAAAAGGAAGGGCTCCAATGACCTTGTGCTTTGGTGATTGTAAATCTAGACACCAAAGCTGAAACAGTGGAACTCAATGAATAAATACCCTTTCTCCCAGCCTCTCTCACCTGTGGGTTGGAGCATCTCACCGTCTTCAGAGACTTAGCACCAGATGAGCAGCTCAATTTTGAATTCTTCAGTTACATTCACTCGTGTGTTCATGCACTTAAGAGCACTGACAATGTGTGGGGCATTGTGTCAGTTTCTTAGAACATCAGGGTGACTGAGAATTGGTTCCTGTAAGTCCGAGGGGAGACCAGCAACAGATGATTGCTGTTCTGTGTGGTGAGAGGGCAAGGAGTGGAAGAAGGCCCTGGAGCTTAGGACTGTGGAGAGGGGGGGTATGGGAACATGGCAGTTTTCTTAGTAAGGGGTCTTAGGACAATCCCTTTCAGAGCTTAGGACTTCCTAAGTGAGTGCTGCTTTACATATACCACTTTGGAGGACATTCAGTGAAAGCAGGAAGAGCAGATGGGAGGCAGTTATAATAGCCCAAGCAAGTAGATAGCTTACCACTCCTTTCTTGTTTGTTGGAAGAGAAAATCACATTCTATAAAAAAAATTTATGGAACTGGTTTGTAGTTAAAGAAATTCTAGGTCGCCACGTCTGGTTGGGTGATTTCGAGCAAAGCAGTGGCGTTCTCTGAGTCTCTGTTTTCTTCTCTGCAGAGCGTGATAAACTGTGGAATCTAACTGCTTGATTGTTCTCAGAACATTCCCTGCCTTTTCTTGCTCTGTTCTGAAATGCGGAAGGCTGCATTTCTTCCTAGAGTTCTTTGTTCTTTGGCTTCCAGATTGATTTGGCCAGTGAGAGGCAGTGGCAAAAGATTTAAGTGCAGCAGTGGGGAAAAGCCAGGGAATTGCTCCTCCTCCCATGGCCTCCTGCAGTGTCCTGGCAGCAACACCGCTTCTCTCATGGATGCAGCTCCCACCACATGCCTCAGTTCCCTGTGCAGTTTCTTCCATTGTCCCTCCAGACCTAGAGGCAACAGTAGAAAACAGTGTTTCTCCTACAGAGGAAAGATAATGCCAAGATATGGTTATATAGGTGAGGGAGGTTAGGAATACAATCAGGGCCTCTGTGGGAACTCTGGCATGGGTAGCTGGATTTCCCGAGATTTTGAGCTTTGAAAAAAAAAAATACTTGTCAAGGAGTAACTTCTTTTAATTGTCCATTTCCATACAACCTGTTACATAGTAGTGGGAGCAGTAGCGTCTCTATGAAATGGACCAATGTGGTCCAAACTAATTTCTCCATGGATTCCAGTGGCAGTGAAATGCCTTGTCCCCTGAGATTGTGAGGGTGGAGTATAATATATATGTTAGCAAGTAAGATGTGAGAACATGAAATTTACTTTTATGACTTTTCTTGAAGTCTCCTAGCTGACTGTATCCTTTCCTTTCCACATTGCATTTGTGGTTTTTGTGATGAATGTCAAGAAAACTCAAACTCTGAACCGAATTGTACTTGCAGAACTCACTGATGAACATCCTCGCTCCATCCAAGGTCCAGCAGCATCCCCGCCTAAACCATTGACCACTGACAAGACAAAATGTAGGTGTTATTAGGACTCTTCATGCAAAATGAAATATTTGAAATGAATTACTTAAAAATTTTGTTTATTAAAGATGTAGAGAGAGAAGAGAGTAAGCTCTTATTTGCTGATTTTCTCCCCAAGTAACTGCAATTGCTAGGATTTGGTCAGGGTCAAGGCCAGGAGCTGGGAAATCAATCCAGCTCTCCCATGTTAGTGGCAGAGAATGAAGTACTTGAGTCATCACCACTGCTTCCCAGGGTCTCCCTTATCAGGGAGCTGGAATTGGGCATTAGATCGAGGCTTGAACCCAGGCGTTCTGATATTGAGTGCAGTTGTCTTAACTAATATCTTGATTGGCTACTCCAGAATATTCTCGTTTTTTTAAAGATTTATTTTTTCAAAAGCTAGAGTGAGAGGGGGAAGGAAGAGGGAAGGAAAAAGAGGGAGGATGGGGGTGGGGGAGAGAAATCTCCCATTTTCTAGTTCATTCCCCAAATGGCCACAGTGGCTGGAGCTGGGGCAGTCCTAAGCCAGGAGTCGGGAATTTCTTCCAGATCTCTCACAAGGGTGAACAAGCCCAATCACTTGGGCCATCTTTTGCTGCCTTCCCCAGCACATCAGCAGGGAGCTGGATCTGTCATGGAGCAGCAGATACGCTAACTGGTAATCATATGGGATGCTGGTGCTGCAGGCAGTGGCTTCACCCGCTATGCCATAGCACTGCCCCCAGAATATTTTTATTTTATCCAGAAATTTTTAAAAAAGTGATTTATAATTATGATTATTTTCTTATTGCTGTTGTGTGTTGGGCTGTGTGCCATAAGTAAATGGGATTTTGAGTGAAAAATCAAGGTCATCCTTCTATTTTCTCTGTTTTTTTTTTTTTTTTATACATAAAAATCTAGAAAATGAGTACCATTTGGGGCCAGCACTGCGGTGTAGCAGGTAAGGCCGCCGCCAGCCAGCATCCCATGTGGGTGCTGATTCGAGTCCCAGCTGTTCCACTTCTGATCCAGCTCTCTGCTATGGCCTGGGAAATAGTAGAGGTAGCCCAAGTCCTTGGGCCCCTGCACCTGTGTGGGAGACCCAGAAGTTCCTGAGTTCTGATCAGCACAGCTCCAGCTGTTACGGCCAATTGGGGAGTGAACCAGTGGATGGAAGACCTCTCTCTCTCTCTCTCTTTCTCTCCTCTCTTTGTGTAACTCTGACTTATAAATAAATAAATAAATAAATCTTCAAAAAATGAGTACTACTTAAACAATTGAGGATATAGTATACATTGGTATATTAAGGAATTGACTGAGTGTGCATAGAGGTTTGTTTCTGTCTCTTTCTCTCTCTCTCTCTCTCTCTCTCTCTTTTTTTTTTTTGACAGGCAGAGTTAAACAGTGAGAGAGAGAAAGATAGAGAGAAAGGTCTTCCTTCTGTTGGTTCACCCCCCAAATGGCCGCTATGCGCTGCATTGATCCGAAGGCAGGAGCCAGGTGCTTCCTCCTGGTCTCCCATGCAGGTGCAGGGCCCAAGCACTTGGGCCATCCTCCACTGCCCTCCTGGGCCACAGCAAAGAGCTGGACTGGAAGAGAAGCAACTGGGACAGAACTAGCGCCCCAACCGGGACTAGAACCCGGGGTACCAGTGCAGCAGGTGGAGGATTAACCAAGTCAGCCATGGCGCCAGCCTGCTTCTCTTCTTAATCTGAAGTAGAGAGCTAGTTAGGATGGTGGAATGGTTCTACTGTCCCCTATATGTAACTTCCATTTCTGTGTCTAATATAGCTGCTCCTGGTGTGGCCATCACACCTGCAGCGGTCAGTGTAAAGAACAAAAGTGGAATGCCAGTGCCTACCTTCGTTATGAGGGCGTAGCCTAAAGGTTGCCAGTAACACTTCTATTTCTATCATGTTGGGCAGAATTTAATTGCCGGAGTACACCTCGTTGCAAAGGTGTCTGGTAAAATTAGTCTTTATTCAGGTAGTGATGTGCCTAGCAATAATAACAGCTCTGTTGTTAAAGGAAGAAGAAAATGGAGATTGGGGAATATTTAGACATGTTTCCCTAATTGGGGATATAAGAATACTGAAAGCAGGAGATGGGGATTTAAACTGGAAAATTTATGGATTCTACATCCAAAAATACTTGAGGGTTTTAGGATTTGGTCTAAATGGGATGTGTGCCCTCTGATTTGGTGTGGTAGAGGCTGGAGCCATGGAAACCAGGTATGAGGTTGCCTCACTCAGGTGTGACTAAACAGTTGGTCACAGAAATGGTGAGACAGGAATAAACCCAAGGAATAATTTAAATAAATAATGCTAAGAAGTGGTAAGAGGTCAAAGTACAGAGGAGAGAGGGAGAGAGGCGTTCCAAGGAAGACTTCAAGGTTTTGACTTTATGAAAGAAGAGATAGTTACACTGACTCAAACAGCAAAATTGAGGGAGAATACTAATTATTGGGAAACAGAGATTTTAAGAGGTATAATTTTGAAGTTGTTCTTAATCATAATTTAGGTGTGGGATAAAACACAGGTTAGTACTGGGTCCACCCTTGAATCCCTGGGCTGATTCTAGATTCTCTTAATTTCTCTGTTATCTTCCCTGTACAAACATACTTATAAACACCCTGGGAACCTCACACCTGGACATTCTGAGATATGAGGCTGAATGAAATTCAAATACTATACCCTTGTTTTGGCACCTAATTTTCATCTTTGTTTTGTTATTTTTAGAAAATATGTAGAATGGATTAGCCGACTAAATACTGGAAGAAAATGCACATTGGCTGTGTGGATGTCCAGTTTTCACCAAATCTCATTAAACTCCAAAACCAAAGTTTGTAATGATAAGCGTGTTCCTGTTAGAAATTTCTTTTTTGCTTAAAACTTCCATGGACTTATCTTTCAGGTTAGGTAAGAGAAGCTGCATATCAAGACCATTCCTTTTGTAGCAGCATCCAGGTAACGATCCCCAAAGTGAATTATTCTTTGGCAAAAATTACACAGATAATTCCTCTAATTCTTTGAATTTCTAAATGTTTAAATGAGTACCAACATTACATTCAGTTAAACAACTAGATATTTTAAAACAACTGGATGAACTCAGTTTATAATTTATTAGTAAATAGAGTAGCTTGCCTAAATATACTCTCGATTGACATTTTTTACCTCTGAATTGCTTTGTGTGTGATGTGAAGACTAGAAATTCGGTTTTAAGAGGCAAGGCTGCCCAGAGAGATTCTGTGTATTGGTGGTAGAAAAGGGATAAGTTAGAAAAAATACATATACAGGAGCATTTCTTTCCTCTCTCTACTATTCAAGAATTGTTGGAACATTTAGATCTTTATAGACACTCATCACTTTAGGTTCCCTTGACATTTCTGTCTAATTTCTAAACAACCTGTTTTAAACTATAAGGGCCAGTGTTGTGCAACAGCAGATTAAGCTGCCACTTTAACTACATTGCAGTGCTGGTTTGAGTCCTAGCTACTCTGCCAGCAATCCAGCTTCCTGCTAATGGACCCGAGAAGGCAGAATAAAATGACCCAAGTCCTTGAACCCCTGCCACCCATGTGGGAGATCAGCTGAAGTTCTGGGCTCTTGGTTTCAGTCTGGTCTGGACCTGGCTATTGCTGTTATTTGGGAAGTGAACCAGTTTGTACAAAGTCTTCCACCACCACCCCTTGCCTCTTTCACTCTCTGTCAGTCTGCCTTTCAAATAAATAAATCTTTAAAAAATATGAAAATATTAAATATAAGGAAAGTCCTTATAACTCTGGAAAGTTCATTAACTGTCTCACAAAATGATTCCCTTTTGCTGTAGAAGGCTTTTTTTTTTTTAATTTGACAGAGTTATAGACAGAGAGAGAGAAAGGTCTTCCTTCCGTTGGTTCACCCCCACAAATGGCTGTTATGGCTGGTGCTGTGCTGATCCAAAGCCAGGAGCCAGGTGCTTCTCCTGGTCTCCCATGCGGGTGCAGGGCCCAAGCACTTGGGCCATCCTCCACTGCCCTCCCGGGCCACAGCAGAGACCTGGACTGGAAGAGGAGCAACTGGGACTAGAGCCGGTGCCCATATGCGATGCTGGTGCCGCAGGCAGAGGATTAACTAAGTGAGCCATGGCTCCAGCCCCATGAAGACATTCTTTTCTTGTACCCTTTTCATTCAATATTTCTTTGAATGGTAGGTAGGGATGATTCTCTCTCTCTCTCTTAATAAAGTCACAAGAATTTTTTATTTTCCAATCAGTTCTCCCATTGTAGTGAAAAGAAGTAAAACAAGTCAAAATAAAAATGACCATAGTGGGAATATAGACAATGGCTATAAACAATAATTGAATGGAAAAATGACCATTTCACCTCTAGTTTTATTTTATCAATTAGTCATTCATAATTTTTTAATGAAATGGAACCAAGGATAATGTAACATCTAAATATTTCCTGGGTGGTTACGAAGTAATAGTCAAGTTAATTCAGATGTTAAGCTATTTCCTCTCAACAGTTTATGCACAGGAATAATTTTGCGCAGATTGCACTCCAAGTAATTATACATTACATTTATTTGTACTCTGTTACCACTGATCAGGGAAAACATGTGATATTTGTCTTTTTGTGATTAGCTTATTTCATTAAGCATAATGGTTTCTAGCAGCATCCATCTTGTTGTGAGCATCTGGATTTCATTCTTTTTTATGGCTGAGTAATATTCCATAGTGTATATACACTACATTTTCTTTATCCAATCATTGGTTGGTGAGGATCTGGGTTGATTCCATACCTTAACTATTGTGAATTGAGCTGCAGTAAACAAGGGGTACGGATAGCTCTTTCAAATGCTGATTTCATTTCATTTGGGTAAAATCCCAGGATAGGGATGGCTGGGGCATTTGGTGGCTTTGCTTTCAGCTTTTTGAGGAGTCCCCACACAGTTTTCTACAATGGCTGTACTGGTTTGCATTCCCACCAACAGTGGATTAGGAAACCTTTTTCCCCATGTTCTTGCTTGCTTATTTGTGTAAGAGAGCCACTTTAACTGGTGAGGTGAAACCTCATTGTGGTTTGGATTTGCATTTCCCTGATGGCTAGAGATACTGAGCATTTTTCATGTGTTTGTTGGCCATTTGAATTTCCTCTTTTGAAAAATGCCTGCACAAGTTCTTTACCCACTCCCTAACTGGATGGTTTGTTTTGTTGTTGTTGAGTTTCTTGAGTTCTTTAGAGATTCTGGATATTAATCTTTTATCAGTTTCATAGTTTGCAAATATTTTCTCTCATTCTGTTGGTAGCCTCATCACTTTTTTGATTATTTCCTTTGCAGTGTAAAAATTTCTTGATATAACCCCATTTCTCTCTGTTTGCTTTGATTGCCTCTGCTTCTGGGGTCTTTACCAAGATGTTTTTGCATATGTTAATGTCTTAAAGAGTTTTACCAGTGTTCTTCTCTACTAATGTTATTGTAATAGGTTATAGATTGAGATACTTGATCCGTTTTGAGTTGATTTTTGTCTAAAGTGTAAGGTAGGGGTCTTGTGTCACACTTCTGCATGGAGAGATCCAGTTTTCCCAGCACCATTTGTTGAATACTGTACTTTCTCCAGGGATTGATTTTACCTCCTTTGTCAAAGATTAGTTGTTTGAGCTGTATGTATTGATTTCTGTTCTGCTCCACTGGTCTACATGTATATTTTTGTGCCAGTTCCAAGCTGTTTTGATTGTAACTTTCCTGTAGTATATCTTGAAATCTGGTATTGTGATGCCTCCAGATGTGTTTTGTTGCTTAAGATGCCTTTACCTATTTGGGGTCTCTTGTGTTTGCATAAGAATTTTTAGGTAATTTTTTTCTAGATCTGAGAAGCATATCATAGGTATTTTGAGACCATGTTGAATCTCTAAATTGCTTTTGAAAGTATGGACGGTTTGGTATTAATTCTTCTAGTCTAGGACATGAAAGATTTTTTGTGTGTGTTTTTATGTCATCTTCTATTTCTTTCATTTACGTTTTGTAATGATCATAATAAAGATATTTCACCTCCTTGGTTACATTTATTCCAAGGTGTGTAAATTTTCTGTAGCTATTGTAAATGGACCTTATATTAGAAGTTCTTCCTGGCCGGCGCCGCGGCTCAATAGGCTAATCCTCCGCCTAGCAGTGCCGGCACACCAGGTTCTAGTCCCGGTTGGGGCGCCGGATTCTGTCTCAGTTGCCCCTCTTCCAGGCCAGCTCTCTGCTGTGGCCAGAGAGTGCAGTGGAGGATGGCCCAAGTGCTTGGGCCCTGCACCCCGTGGGAGACCAAGAGAAGCACCTGGCTCCCGGCTTTGGATCAGCGCGCTGCGCCAGCCACAGCGTGCCGGCCACGGTGGCCATTGGAGGGTGAACCAACGGCAAAGGAAGACCTTTCTCTCTGTCTCTCTCTCTCTCTCACTGTCCACTCTGCCTGTAAAAAAATAAAATAAAATAAACACTAAATGTACCATCCTCAAATAAATCAAAAGATACCGAAGTTCTTCCTCAGCCATGGCATTGTCTCTGTATACAAAGGCTATTGCTTTTTTTGTGTCAGTTTTGTATCCTGCAAATATGTGTGTGTGTGTGTGTGTGTATACATACATACATTCATATCATCTGTAAGCAAGGGTAATTTGACTTCCTTCCTTCCAATTTATATCGTTTTGATTTATTTTTCTTGCCTAGTGGTTGTGGCTAAAACCTCCAGAACCATATTGAATAGCAATGGTGAAAGTGAACATGCTTGTCTGGTTCCAGATCTTAGTGGAAATGCTTCCAGCTTTTCCTGATTCAGTGTGATGCTGGCTGTGGGTTTATCATGTCTTGCATTGATTGTATTAAAGAATGTTCCTTCTATATCCAATTCGCTTAAGGTTTTCATAATAAAAGGATGTTTTATTTTATCAAATGCTTTCTCTGCTTATATTGAAATAATTATATATTACTTGTTTTCAGTTTGTTAATGTGGTATATCACACTTACTTATTTGCGTATGTTGATCCATCCTTGCATAGCAGGGATAAATCCTACTTGGTCTGGGTGAATGATCTTTTTGATATGTTGTTGGATTCAATTACTTAGTGTTTTGAGGATTTTTGCATCTGTGTTCACCAGGATATTGGTCTATAGTTCTCTTTCTCTTTTGTGTCTTTTTCTGGTTTAGGAAGTAAGGTGATGCTGACCTTATAGAAGGATTTTGGGAGTATTCCCTCCCTTTCAGTTGTTTTGAATAGTTTGGAAATAATTGGAATCAGTTCTTCCTTAAAAGTCTGGTAGAATTCAGCAGGAAAGCCATCCAACCTGGGATTTTCTTTGTGGGGAGGGTCTTCATTATTGACTAATCTTCATCTTGATTATTGTTCTGTTTAGGTTTTCTATGTCTTCATGATTCAATTTTGGTAGATTGTATGTGTCTAGGAACTATCCGTTTCATCTAGATTTTCTAATTTGTTTGATATATAGCTGTTTAAGGTAATTCCTGAAGACTCATTTTATTTCTGTGATATCCATTGTTTTTTTTCCCCCCACAGGCAGAGTTAGTGAGAGAGAGAGACAGAGAGAAAGGTCTTCCTTCCGTTGGTTTAGCCCCCCAAATGGCTGCGACAGCCAGTGCGCTGCACTGATCCGAAACCAGGAGCCAGGTGCTTCCTCCTGGTCTCCCATGTGAGTGCAGGGCCCAAGCATTTGGGCCATCCTACACTGCCTTCCCAGGCCACAGCAGAGAGCTGGACTGTAAAAGGAGCAACCAGGACAGAATCTGGCACCCCAACCAGGACTAGAACCTGGGGTGCCAGCACTGCAGGTGGAGGATTAACCAAGTGAGCCATGGTGCTGGTGATATCCGTTGTTAAATCTTCTTTTTCATCTCTGATTTTATTAATCTGGGTCTTCTCTCTCTTTGTTTTGTTATTTGGGCCAATGTTATATCAATTTTTAAATTTGTTTAAAAACATCTTATTTTTGTTTCAATTTTAATTCTTTT